TGCAAGGAAACATAATATATGCTCTCTTCTTTGTCTGTCTCTCTCTCCTCTCTCTCTCTCTGTCTCTCTGTCTGTCTATCTGTCTCTCTCTCGGTTGCTCTCTCTCTCTCCTCCCTAGACCCTTCATATGTATCTCAATAGTATTTTAAGCAATCAAGTACTGGGTTGAAAACCTACAACAGCTGTTCTCCATACCTTACTGTGCACATACATGTGCACATATGCAGGCACACACACACACACACACACACAGAGAAACACACACACGTGATTTAATGACTACAAATAAACCTTTCCCATTGGATATTGTCTCCAGATGAAATCTATGCTTATATAGAGTCCTGAGTCGGGTGTAGGACACGATGCAAAATACAGAGACTTTTTATTATTTATTTACCTATGTAATTTACTTACGTTGGAGCTGGGGAAGGAGCCGGGTCCTCGCACGCGTTAACTAAATTCTCTACTCCGGAATTATATTCCTCGTGTCACTTAAAAAACCCATTTATGATTTGAAAACATGTGCTTGGGATTTTTTTTTCTTGGTTTTGTTGGTATCCAGGCAGCATCTCAACATGTTGCCCAGGCTGGCCTTGAATTCAGGATCCTGTTGGGTTAGCCTGTCGAGTGTCGGAATTATATCTATTTATTTACTATTTATTTGTTCAGTCGTTCATTCATCCATTTGTTTATCTATTTACTTATCTGTCATCGATCTATCATCTATCTATCAATACATCTGTCATCTGTGCATCTATCTATTATCTATCTCTATCATTTCTCATCTATCTATCATCCATCAATCATCTATCTATCATCTGTGTATCGATACATCTATCTATGGATCCATCTATGCATGTCCCTCTCTCTATATATTTAGACATGTAAGTAGACATCCATCCATCCATGTATCCGTTTCCCTGTGCATCCATGTACGCCTGCAGGTAACCCTCTCTCTATACATACATATATCTATATAGGTATAGATCCATCTCTCCACCAATCCATCTATCCATCCATCTATTGATCCATGTGTCCCTTTATCTATTCGTTTATCTATGCATGTATATATTCATGCATATATATGTATGTACAGAGATAAAGGTATATTGCTCTATGCATGTATCCATCCGTCCGTCCGTCTGTCCATCTATCGTCTATCTATCCCATCTATCCATGTGTCCATGCATCCATCTCACTTATCTGTCACCACCTCTCTGTGTCTCTCGGTGTCCGTCAATCCATCTGTCCATCGCCATTTACCTGTGAGTTCGTCTATGCCTGAAGCTGTCTGTCTGTACTTACCAATATCTATATTTAGATATAAGAATATATCCATCGTCTGTTGATCCACAGATCCATCCCTCCCCCCATCCAGCTCCCCACACACCCATCTATCCACACAACTATCTCTCTTTAAATATGTACATATATGTATGTAGCTGCCGATCGGCGTATCCACAAGGCCATCTGCCTAGCCATGTACCGTCTATCCCTCTCCCTCCATCCTTTTCCCATCCATCCATCCATCCATGCTTGTATTGATCCCAGCATATATAGAGAGAGACAGGGAACAAGACAGAGACAGAGAGACAGAGACAGACAGAGAGATAGGTAGATAGCCACCTATCCATGCATCTATCTATCCATCAATCTATCTATCCATCCATTTATTGATCCATGCGTGTATGTATCTTTGTCCATCCATCCATCATCCATCATCCATCCATCATCCATCATTATCATCCATCATCCACCCACCCCTCCATCATCCATCCATCATCCATCATCATCCATCATCCATCATCATCCATCATCCATCCACCCATCAATCCATCATCATCATCCATCATCCATCATCATCCATCCATCCATCCATCCATGCATGCATGATCCACCCATCGGTCCATCATCCATCATCATCCATCATTATCCATCATCCATCCATCATCCATCATCATCCATCATCCACCCACCCATCCACCCATCTGTCCATCGTCCATCATCCATCATCATTTATCCATCATCCATCATCATCATCCATCATCCACCCACCCCTCCATCATCCATCCAACATCCATCATCATCCATCATCATCCATCATCATCCACCCATCAATCCATCATCATCATCCATCATCCATCATCATCCATCATCCACCCACCCATCCACCCATCTGTCCATCGTCCATCATCCATCATCATTTATCCATCATCCATCATCATCATCCATCATCCACCCACCCCTCCATCATCCATCCAACATCCATCATCATCCATCATCATCCATCATCATCCACCCATCAATCCATCATCATCATCCATCATCCATCATCATCCATCATCCACCCACCCATCCACCCATCTGTCCATCGTCCATCATCCATCATCATTTATCCATCATCCATCATCATCATCCATCATCCACCCACCCCTCCATCATCCATCCAACATCCATCATCATCCATCATCATCCATCATCATCCACCCATCAATCCATCATCATCATCCATCATCCATCATCATCCATCATCCACCCACCCATCCACCCATCTGTCCATCGTCCATCATCCATCATCATTTATCCATCATCCATCATCATCATCCATCATCCACCCACCCCTCCATCATCCATCCAACATCCATCATCATCCATCATCATCCATCATCATCCACCCATCAATCCATCATCATCATCCATCATCCATCATCATCCATCATCCACCCACCCATCCACCCATCTGTCCATCGTCCATCATCCATCATCATTTATCCATCATCCATCATCATCATCCATCATCCACCCACCCCTCCATCATCCATCCAACATCCATCATCATCCATCATCATCCATCATCATCCACCCATCAATCCATCATCATCATCCATCATCCATCATCATCCATCATCCACCCACCCATCCACCCATCTGTCCATCGTCCATCATCCATCATCATTTATCCATCATCCATCATCATCATCCATCATCCACCCACCCCTCCATCATCCATCCAACATCCATCATCATCCATCATCATCCATCATCATCCACCCATCAATCCATCATCATCATCCCGCTCCAGTGCAACCGGGATCGCGGCATCTGCACAGCAACCGCCCATTCGGCCCCTGTGCAGCGTGCGCACGGACCTTTGATCTGTTCCATAAAACACAGCCGTCTCCACACACGCATGACACAGCTGTCTCCACACACACGACTGCCATCTCTACACATATATGGCACAGCCGTGTTCACAGACTCATGACACAGCCCTGTCCACACAGACACCGCACAGCCATCTTTACACATGCATTACACAGCCACACACACACAGACATGACACAGTCATCTGCAGACATATATGACACAGTCATTTCCACACATCCGTGACACAGCCATGTCCGCACATACATGGCAGAGCTATGTCCACACAGACACCGCACAGCCATCTTTACACATGCATTACACAGCCACACGCACACAGACATGACACAGCCATCTGCACACATATGACACAGTCATTTCCACACATCCGTGACACAGCCATGTCCGCACATACATGGCAGAGCTATGTCCACACAAACGTGACACAGCCATCTTTACACATGCATTACACAGCCATATCCATACACACATAACACAGCCATCTCCACACACGTGACACAGCCATCCTCCCCACATGACACAGCCATCTCCACATGTACATGGCACGGTCATTTCCACACACACGACAGATCCATGTCCACACATACATGAGATGCCATGTGCACACACAGCACAGCCATCCCCCGCACACACGACACAGCCATCTCCACACGTGCATGACAGAGTCATTTCCACACATACATGGCAGAGGCGTGTCCCCACACACGGGGGTTTCTGGCGGGAGGGTCTTGCGCAATGTCTACACACCTGTAGGGACGTCCGGATGACGGACTCGTGAGGAGGACGTGACTCCTCGGACTTCCCGGGATGTCCGGCTGTGACGTCATGCCTGCGGCGGCGCCTGTGCGGGTGACGACATAGTTCAGCCCCCCAGCGCACGGAATGTCCTTTCCTCGGCCTCCGCACACACGGTCACGTGTGGGATTCACGGCTTTTCGTGTTTGTAACGGATCCACATTTTCCTACGGCCGTGGAATTAGCTCTGGTCGTTTCCACCCCATTCCTGGCCCCCACCGTGGAAACCCCGCCCACTGTGAAGTCCTACTGTGCGCAGCACCCTTCCTCGGGCCCCGCTACTGAACTGGGCGAGAAACCCAGATGAGCGCGAGGTTTCTCCTGACGTTTCTTCCTTGACTTCCTGCCGTGCCTTCCGTGAGTGCTGGACTCAGTGGTGACTCACAGCCCTCGCCTCCGCCCCACGTCAGACTGAGTTCCTCCGTTCAGCACCCGCCTTAAAAACCAAACCCTAAGGAAACCGATCGTGTTCCCCGCAGCGTGAATCGAACTCAACCTGCTACTCAGCACACACATGAGGCACCCACTGGGTGCTGTGCACAGTCTCTGCACGCATAGGAGGACGCGGAGCTACCCTGCCCCGATCTTGACTCCCAGGCCACTGGGGCGGCATGGAAATTCCCCCGTCCCCTCCCCCCGGCGCTTCTGAGACCGAGACACAAACACCCCACAATGAAAACCAGATGGGACCGGCCGCGACTTCCGGGAGCCCAGCAGCCGAGCTCCTACTTTCCGCACTTTCAGTAACGTGTGCACTCAAGGGAAGAGACGGCCGAGCGCGTGCGCAGCTGGGACTGCGGTCCAGGGCCGCGTCGGGGTCCGAGAGAGCGGTCCCGCTTGCGGGGACTCAGCCCCGAAGGTGCTGGACTCCGCCGTGTGCGCGCGGCCACATCTGGGAGGACTTAGCACCCAGCACTGAATACCAGCCACCAACGCGGTACTCGGGACCGTGTCCGAGTTTCTCCAACCACTCTACGTTTCCACAACACGCCCCGTTTATGTCTTCCCAACGAGCCGAGCTCCTACTTTCCGCACTTTCAGTAACGTGTGCACTCAAGGGAAGAGACGGCCGAGCGCGTGCGCAGCTGGGACTGCGGTCCAGGGCCGCGTCGGGGTCCGAGAGAGCGGTCCCGCTTGCGGGGACTCAGCCCCGAAGGTGCTGGACTCCGCCGTGTGCGCGCGGCCACATCTGGGAGGACTTAGCACCCAGCGCTGAATACCAGCCACCAACGCGGTACTCCCGTGTCCGAGTTTCTCCAACCACTCTACGTTTCCACAACATGCCCCGTTTATGTCTTCCCTGCACGGGGAGGCCTGGGTGTGCGAAGCTTAGTACCCGTCCCCGAGGTGCTGTTTGCGAGGTGTTGGAGTCACGGCCGAAGAATGGATGCTGCTGTGTGCTCTGTGCGTAGGGTGCTTGAAGCTCAGTGTCTAGAGTGCTTGTAGCTCAGTGAGTAGAGTTTTTTTAACTCAGCGGGTAGAGTGCTTGTATAGCTCAGTAGGCAGAGTGCTTGTAGCTCAGTAGGGAGAGTGCTTGTAGCTCAGTGGATACAGTGCTTGTAACTCCGTGCGTAGAGTGCTTGTAGCTCGGTGGGCAGAGTGCTTGTAACTCAATGCATAGAGCGCTTGAGGCTCAGTGAGTAGAGTTCTTGTAACTCAGTGGGTAGAGTGCTTGTAGCTCAGTGAGTAGAGTTCTTGTAACTCCGTGGGTAGAGTGCTTGTAGCTCGGTGAATACAGTTCTTGTAACTCAGCGGGTGGAGTGCTTGTACATGCTTGAAGCTCAGTGTCTAGAGTGCTTGTAGCTCAGTGAGTAGAGTTTTTGTAACTCAGCGGGTAGAGTGCTTGTATAGCTCAGTAGGAAGAGTGCTTGTAGCTCAGTAGGCAGAGTGCTTGTAGCTCAGTGGATACAGTGCTTGTAGCTCCGTGCATAGAGTGCTTGTAGCTCGGTGGGCGGAGTGCTTGTAACTCAATGCATAGAGTGCTTGAGGCTCAGTGAGTAGAGTTCTTGTAACTCAACGGGTAGAGTGCTTGTAGCTCAGTGAGTAGAGTTCTTGTAACTCTGTGGGTAGAGTGCTTGTAGCTCGGTGAATACAGTTCTTGTAACTCGGTGGGTACACTCCTTGTAGCTCAGTTAACAAGACCAGAGAGCTAACCAAGCTATGTGTCTGCAACACCCCAAAGGTACTAAGCACCCAGCACTCACGTTGGGCCACTGAGATGGCACAGCAGGTCAAGGTGCCTCTGGCCCGGCCTGAACACCCGCCTGTGAGGGCTGCACCGACGGTGACTGAGTAACATCACTGGTCAACCAAGCACAGAGTACCCAGTTCGAATCCTCAGCACCTACCTCCAAAGCGGGCTTGGGTGCTTATGCCTGGTACTCCACGTGTGGGGGTGCCCTGCGCTCAGTCTCCCGTCGGGGTAACTTCCGGTTGTGTCCGACACCCGGTGGCAAGATGGGAAGTCGTCCTGGAAGTCTCTTCATGTTCCAGTGAGTACCGTGCACCCAGTACCTGGTGCTCACGACACTGGCCCATGTGTGTAGTATACAGCCGAGAACAGAGCAGACCCGGAAGTGGACTTTTCTTGGCGTCCCGAGCTGTCCAGGGAGAGAGATCCGGTTCGGTCTAACCCGGGGGCGGGGTACAGTACTTGCAGCTCAGTGGATGGAGTGCTTGTAGCACAGTGTGTAGAGTGCTTGTAGGTCAGTGGGTAGAGTGCTTGCAGCTCAGTGGGCAGAGTGCTTGTAGATCTTTGGGTACAGTGCTTGTAGGTAGCGGGCAGAGTGCTTCTAGGTCAGTGGGCAGAGTGCTTTGTAGGTCACTAGGTAGAGTTCTGGTAGTTCAGTGGGTAGAGTGCTTGTAGCTCAGTGGGTAGAGTGCTTGTAGCTCAGTGGGCGGAGTGTTTGTAGATCATTGGGTACAGTGCTTGTAGGTAGCGGGCAGAGTGCTTGTAGGTCAGTGTGTAGAACGCTTGTAGCTCAGTGGGCAGAGTGCTGGTAACTTCTTTTGATTCAGTGGTTTGCAACCGTAGTACTGAGTTCTAAGCACTCATTTTTTGATTATATGGTTTGTTGCAGTAGTACTGAGTTCTAAGCACTGATAGTTTTTGATTCTGTAGTTTCTCATGGTACTGAGTTCTAAGCACTCATATTTTCCGATTCGATGATTTCTTTGTATCAGTAGTAACTGAGTTCCAAGCACTGATTTTTTTGGTTCTGCAGTTTGTTCGTAACCACAGTACTGAGTTCTAATCACTGATTTTTTTTTATTCAATGATTTCTTTGTCATCATAGTACTGAGTTCTAAGCACTCATATTTTCAATTGCAGCCCGAGCTGTTTTTCGAGAATTTAAATTCTTCATTGCGTTTACTGTGTGACAAGCACTGCTGTCTGTGTATCTATCGGTCTGTCGTCTGTCCGTCTATCACGTAGACACATGAGCTCACACACGTCACAGGAGCCCCGGCCAGGCTTTCACCCACGCCGTGACCACTTGTGACGCTCTCTACGTCCTGTCCACCATGACGTCATCAGCTCTGCTCCACCCGCGCTCTCCCATGATGCTCTGCGACACCACAGGCCCTAAGCAGAGGAACCCAGGGACCCAGGGCCAGCCCTGCACGCCTGAACGTGACCTGCGTATACGTAAGTGCACGGCACGTATGTAAACTGCCCTGGATGTGTATAAGCGCTCTGCACGTGTGTAAACTGAACTGCATGTGTGTCCGTGCACTGTGTGTATGTAAAATGCCCTGCACGTAAGTGCGCTGCACATATGTAAACTGAACTGCATGTGTGTAAGTGCGCTGTGTGTCTGTAAGTGTCGTGCCTGAATATAAGCCGGATTCATGTAACTGCATCGCATGCACGTAAACTGCCCTGCATGCGTGTAAGTACACTACATGTACGTGAGCTGCACTGCATGTGTGCAAGTGCATCACATGTATGTAAACTGCCCTGCACATGTGTAAAGTGCATCACATGTATGTAAACTGCCCTGCGTGTGTGCAAGTGCATCACATGTATGTAAACTGCCCTGCACATGTGTAAAGTGCATCACATGTATGTAAACTGCCCTGCGTGTGTGCAAGTGCATCACATGTATGTAAACTGCCCTGCACATGTGTAAAGTGCATCACATGTATGTAAACTGCCCTGCGTGTGTGCAAGTGCATCACATGTATGTAAACTGCCCTGCACATGTGTAAAGTGCCCTGAATGTGTGTAAGAGCACTGCATGTGTGCAAACGGAACTGCGTGTAAGTGCACTGCAGGAGTATAAACTGCATGTATGTAAGTGCATCGCATGCACGTAAATTGCCCTGCATGTGTGTAAGAGCACTGCATGCATGTAAACTGCCCTGTATATGTGTAAGAGCGCCGCACATGTGTGAACTGCACTGCACGTGTGTAGGAGCACTGCGTGTGTGTGAACTGCCCTGCATGTGTGCACGTGGACTGCATGTGTGTGAACTGAACTGTGTTGTGTAAGTAGACCGCAAGTAAGTGCACTGCATGTATGTAAACTGCCCTGTATATGTGTAAGAGCGCCGCACATGTGTGAACTGCACTGCACGTGTGTAGGAGCACTGCGTGTGTGTGAACTGCCCTACATGTGTGCACGTGGACTGCATGTGTGTGAACTGAACTGTATTGTGTAAGTAGACCGCAAGTAAGTGTACTGCATGAATGTAAACTGCATGCATGTGAACTGCCCTGCGTGTGTGCACGTGGACTGCACGTGTGTGAACTGAACTGTATTGTGTAAGTAGACCGCAAGTAAGTGCACTGCATGAATGTAAACTGCATGCATGTGAACTGCCCTGCATGTGTGTAAGGGCGCCCGTGTCGTGCACTGTCCGTGGAGGTCCGGAGAGGGCGTGGGATACCCTGGAGCTGGAGTTATGGACCGTTGCCCGGCGCCAGGTGGGTGCTGGGAACCGAGTCCTCGGCAGGAGCAGCCGGGGCTCTTAATCCACGAGCGACCTAGCAGCCCCTGGGCTAGTACCGAGCTAACTGGGCTCCCGCCAGAGCCCCGCGCGGCCTCCCGAAGGCCATGACGGTGGAACGACTCGGTAAACAGTTCTCTCCTGAACCCCCGACCGCGGCGTAGGCTCCACCCACCCCCGAGAGCACCGAGTCCCATCCCCAGTCAGCACCGAGCTCTAACACTGCACCCGACTTTGCATGTTCCGTCAGTGCTGAGCACTGTTCTCCGAGTCTCCCTCTTGGGGCTCGACTTCCGGGCGTTCTGGCGGGCGCTCCCTCCCCTCCCAGCTGGCGCGGGCGGCTGGCCAGAACCGGTCCCGGCGGCCCAGGACTCGCTTCCGGCCCCCGGCGGTGTGCGCGCCGCCGCTCTTTACCCCGCGGCACCGGATTAAACACAGTCATTTGCGCCCAAGATGGCGACGGCAGGACCTGGAAATGACACACCGGCGGGTGGATCACAGGAAGCCGCCGGGTGCTTAGCGCCCCCGGGTCTTAGTTAACGGCTCCAGCTGGAACCCCCCCCCCCGGGCCTGACACACAGTCCGCCGTCGACACTGGGTATTAGCCCTGCCGGGGTGTAATCAGGAGGCTGAGCCGGGGTAGGGGCGGGAGGTGGCGCTTGCCAGGGCCTCCGCTGAGCTTGGTGAGCACTCCAGGGCGCCAGCCGAGTGCTCACTGACCATGCACGGTGATCCACAGGAATGCAGGGCTGCGGCCTTAGGGATCCAAGAATTCACTTAGAACCGAGGGACTGTGCACAGCACTCTGCTCGCTGGGAATCCTTGATGGACTGACACACAAGGACAGAAGACTGTGATGATGGTGCCTGCCTGTGTAGACATGTGACGGACAGGTCTCTCTAGAAACATGGTAGAAAGACAGACAGACACGATGGCTGGACGATCGCTGATCACACAACACCGGCTTCAGACGGTGGATGCCGACACCGTGACGTCGAGTCCCAGCACCCACCTGGCGGCTGACAACCGCGGATAACTCCAGTCCCAGGGGGTCAGACCCTCATGTGTCCATCTTTTCTTCCGTCGATCTATCGATCGTTGATTATCGATATCACTCATTAACTATATTAATTACTCATGTATGATTTATCAATGATCTATTTTTCTCTGGTCCTGTCATCATACATGATCATATCTCAGTATCTGTGTGTCTACCATCCACCAGTCATGGCACATGAAAACTACATGTAGTTTCTTATTCTATGTGCACGCGTCTGTGGCCTGCGTGTATGTGAGTGGACCCGTGTCACGAGAGATGACTGACAGACAGTGAACGTGCAGACGTCCCGGCAGCCTCAAGGCTTGTCCTCTGGAATCGGGAACCAAAATAAATTCGTTTTTGTGAGTCAATTTTGGCCAAGATGTTTCATCACCGCAACAAAAGGAAGTGACAGATCTGTAAATAAAGCATGTGAATCAAGTCGTAATTGATAGATGAAAGATAGACGAGAGAGAGAGAGAGAGAGAGATGATAGATGAGAGGAGTTAGTGTGTGAATGCAATATCAATAGCAGATATAGGGATGGATGGATGATACAGGATGGATGCATAGGTGGATGATGGCTGGATGATGGATGATGGATGGTGGATGATGGAGGATGATGATGATAATGGATGGATGATGGGTGAATGGATGATGGATAATGGATGGATGATGATGGATGGATGATGGATGGATGGATGGATGATGGGTGGTGGATGGTGGATGACAGATGGATGGATGATGGGTGGTGGATGGTGGATGACAGATGGATG